GGGGGTGTACACAGCGGCAGGTGTGTGTACACACTGGGGTGTCAGTCTGGGCAAGGCTCCATGCCCAGCCTGCGTCCCTGCCCGTGCGTCCTGCACACGTCCCAGCTCCTTCCCCACCCCTCTAGCTGGGGCACGTCTTGTTCCCGCCCAGGAAGTCCGGCCAGACCCTCAGCAGGTCCGTGGGCCCGAAGTGATGCACCAACACCAGCTTGGAGAACTGGCACTTCTCATACTCCAGCCAGACGATGTTGAAGAGGCCCCAGGGGCTGTCGGTCACGCTGACGCCCAGCTCGTGCAAACAGATCCCCATGAACGCGTCCTCCATGTTGATGACCCGGAGGGTCTGGGCCACCCCATACACCTTCTTGGCGAGGTCTCCAGAGAGCACGTAGGCGGGGCCGCCGCAGTACGGGGGGTAGGTGTCGTTGGGGTACACCTCCCGGGGCACGTACCACTTGTACGCCTTGCTCCGCAGCGGCCCAGTGTTCCTGTAGATGTACCCCGTCATGAAGTCCTTCTTGGGCGGCAGCTGAGGCTGCAGCAGCTCCCGGACGAGGAAGCCCACGTTGAGGAAGACGTCGCTGTCGGCCTTCACCACGTAGCTGGCATTGGGGCAGTGCCTGCTCACCCACTCCATGCCCATCAGCGTCTTCAGGGTCAGGTTGTTGTAGGTGTCCAGGAAGTCCTGCTGGATGATGTCGCGATGCAGGGCGCTCTCCTCCTCCAGCAGCTGCTGCAGCGGGGCGCTGTAGTGCGGGTGGACCCCGGTCAGGAAGAGCCGCGCCATGGAGACGCCGGGCACGGCACTCTCGTTGCCCCAGGTCTGCCGGATGGCGTTCCTCGCCTCGATGTCCTTGGGCTCCGTCACCACCAGCAGCACCAGGAAGGGCGCCCGCTCCCGGCACTTGTCCGGCTCGTTCAGGAGGAAGCGGTAGCTGTAGGGGTAGACGACCTGCAGCGGGTGCCTGGTGGACGCTGGCGGGCGGCTGGGCACGGGCACAGGCATGGAGTGCCTGGCTTTCTCCTCCTCAGTGCCTCGCCACTGGAAGACGGGGCTGCCCTGGAGCAGCTCCACAGAGACAGGCTCACGCCGGGGTGCGACCAAGAGCCCCAGCTGCAGGGTCCCGGGGGCGTCCTGGTGGACAATGACAAGCAGCAGGAAGAGGAAGGAGGAGAAGCAGACAAAGAGCAGCTTGTGCGGGAAGCCGGCCCTCATGCTGGCCGAGTTCTCAGGGACGGGGCAGCCTCAGCGGGGCAGAGTCGCAGGCCTCTCCTGCGTCGTTCCAGCGCAGACCTAGAGAGAGGGAGGCCCCGTCTGCATTAGCACGAGAGCGGCCAGGAACCATGGGGAGCAAGCCCGGCCTCCTGGGGCTGTGACCCCATCTCCCGGGGGGGCTGGGTCTGCTCTTGGATGGGAGAGCACCGTGTGCTGCAGGGGAAGGGGTGCATGCCACTCAGTCAGCTG